TCAGGAGAGGTCGTGCTACGGAATGCCGGGGAATATGATATGAAAACTATGAATTTCTCTTGAAAACGCGAATAATGACTTATGACTAAAAAGCGGTTCCCTACCGACGAACATTGCAGGGTGTAAAGGTATATGTTGTCGGTAGAGTAATGGAAAGTGTTGCTTTCTTAGAGCGTCCAATTATTTGCACTGAATTAAAATGTGAAGGACTGTTAATCCTTCACCACATCTGTCACACAATGGTGGATCCCCACTGGACAAAAGATGTTTGTGTATCGTGTATGTGTGTCCTATGCTGAGCCTTGTAAGTATTACCTCTGTATGACGCGATTTCGATACGGGCAGCCAATGACCAAGGTGTGGCTTAACAATGTGTAGTTTGCTTTGTGTGTGTGTATCCCACTTGCTCTGCCAGTAGTCCCTGAGATTTCGTTTGAGAGACGGCTTAAGATCAAGGGCCGGGATCGATAAAGGTGTAATGGCGGTGCTTTCGTGGGCGGATGCAGCAAGCTGATCCGCCATCATGTTGCCTTGAATCTCACGGTGCCCTGGCACCCAGCACACAACAACATGTCGGTTGAGTGTGTAGAGTGTGCATAAAATGGAGTAAAGTGAAACGAGGACAGGGTTTTTTTGTTTTTTAAGACTTTGCAGAGCCGTTACAACACTGAGGGAGTCTGTATAAATTACTGCTTTTTGTATTTGTGATTGTTTGATGTGTTTAGCTGCCACAAGTATCGCGTAAGCTTCCGCTGTGAAGATACTTGTGCCTGGATGTAGAGGGCCAGCATCCGAAAAGGAAGGGCCAAACGCAGCGTAGGACACAGAGGAGTTAGACACAGAGGCATCTGTAAAAAACTCAGGACGTGTGTATTTGTGTTGAAGTTTTCCAAGAAGTATGTTCGAATATGGGCAATGGGCGCATGTTTAGTAACATCTAGGAAAGACACATCGCAATCTATAATCAGCCACTGCCACGGTGGCGGGTATGCTACAGGAGCCATTAAACAGTGTTCGAGTGACACTCCAGTGTCCTCAGCTAGACCCTTCAGGCGAACTGAGAAGGGCTGCCTCATTGAAGGCCTGTTTTGGAAGAGAATGGAGCTCGACAAGTCATTAATAGTAGAGTATGAGGGGTGCCTCTTGTCTGCCTTCACGTTAAGGAAATATACAAAGGACATGTAGGTTCTTTGCAGATGAAGCGACCACTCATTGGACTCAACGTAAAGGCTTTCTACGGGGCTGGCGCGAAAAGCACCCGTAGAAAGGCGGATGCCCGAATGGTGCACGGGATCCAGCATCTTCAAAGCACTTTGAGTCACAGACTGATAAACAATGGCCCCATAATCTAAGCGGGTGCGACTTAGGCTTCTATACAGGTTCATGAGGCATTTCCTGTCACTACCCCACGTAGTACGTGACAACACTTTTATAACATTCATGGCTTTTAAACATTTTCTTCTTAAATACTTTTTGTGGGGTACGAAGGTCAACTTGTTGTCCACGATTAAGCCTAAGAATTTATGCTCAGCTTTGACGGACAGACGTTGCCCGTTCAGTCGAATGTCAGGTTCCGAGTGCATGCCTCTCGTTCGAGAGAACAAGACACACGTGCTTTTTTGTGGGTTAAGTCGAAATCCGTTTTCATCTGCCCATTTGGAGACCTTGTTTAAACACATCTGAACCTGCCGCTCACACATGGCCAAGTTGCATGACTTGAAGCCAATGATGTTTGATGTTTTATGGCGCAAGGGCCATTTCACGGCCAAAGAGCGCCAGTTCATCTTACTAAAATTATGGACAATGATTGTGATAAGCGGCTGTATAAGGGCCATAAAATTCCTCGCAATAAGGCGGGTAAAAACATACAAGTAATAAAATCATGACCATGCGGTGAAAGGTGTGTGTGATGTGAATAGATGACAAAAGTTGGTGATAATAAGAGACGATGGTGCATATGTATAGAGACGATGGTGCATAGGCATTAGCACAAGTGCCTCACTCGTTCATACCCTTGCGTCCAAGGGCCGTGAGGCATGTGCTTTCTTGTGTAGCCACCGCAGCAAAAACCTCTCTGGAGAGGTCATGCTACGGTATGCCCGGGTATATGACATGAAAGCTATGAATTTCTTTTAAAAACGCTAACAATGATTTATAACTAAAAAGCGGTTCCCTACCGACAAACATTGCAGGGTGTAAAGGTATATGTTGTCGGTAGGGTAATGGAAAGTGTTGTTTTCTTACAGTGTCCAATTGTTTGCACTCAATTAAAATGTGAAGGACTGTCAATGCTTCACCACATCTGTCACACAATGGTGGATCGCCACCGGACAAAAGGTGTGTGTGTGTCGTGTATGTGTGTCCTATCCTGAGTCTCGTTAGTAACACTTCTGTATAACGCGATTTCGATACGGGCGGCCAATGACCAAGGTGTGGCTTAATAACGTGTAGTTTGTTTTGTGTGTGTGTATCCCACTTGCTCTGCCAGTATACTCTGAGGTTTCGTTTGAGGGATGGTTTAAGATCGAGGGCCGGGATTGATATGGATGTAATGGCGGTGCTCTCATGGACGGACGCAGCTAGCTGATCCGCCCTCACGTTGCCTTGAATCTCACGGTGCCCTGGCACCCAGCACACTACAACATGTTGTTTGAGTGTGTATAGTGTGCATAAAATGAAGTAAAGTGAGACAAGGACTGGGTTTTTGTGTTTTTTAAGATTGTGCAGAGCCGTTACCACACTTAGGGAGTCTGTATAAATTACTGATTTTTGTATTTGTAATTGCTTGATGTGTTTAGCCGCCACAAGTATCGCGTACGCTTCCGCTGTGAAGATACTTGTGCGTGGATGTAGTGGACCAGCATCCGAAAAGGATGGGCCTACAGCAGCGTAGGACACAGAGGAGTTAGTCTTGGAGGCATCTGTGAAGAACTCAGGACATGTGTATTTGTGTTGAAGTTCCAGGAAGTATGTTCGGATATGGGCAATAGGCGCATGTTTTGTAACTTCAAGAAAGGACACATCACAGTCTATAGTCTGCCATTGCCACGGTGGCAGATATGTTACAGGAGCCATTAAACTATGTTCAAGTGAGACTCCAGTTTCCTCAGCTAGCCTTTTCAGGCGAACTGAGAAGGGCTGCCTCATCGAAGGCCTGTTTTGAAACAGAATGGAGCTCGACAAATCAATAATAGTGGAGTATGAGGGGTGCTTCTTATCTGCTTTCACCTGAAGGAAATAAACAAAGGACATGTAAGTTCTCTGCAGATAAAGCGACCACTCATTCGACTCAACATAAAGGCTTTCTACGGGGCTGGTGCGAAAAGCACCCGTAGAAAGGCGGATGCCCAAATGGTGCACGGGGTCAAGCATCTTCAAGGCACTTTGAGTGGCAGACTGATAGACAACGGCCCCATAATCTAAGCGGGTACGAATAAGGCTTCTATAGAGGTTCATGAGGCATTGCCTATCACTACCCCGCGTAGTACGTGACAACACTTTTATAACATTCATGGCTTTTAAACATTTTGTTTTTAAATACTTGATATGCGGTACGAAGGTCAACTTGTTGTCCAAGATTAAGCCTAAAAATTTATGCTCGGCTTTGACGGACAGACGTTGCCCGTTCAGCCGAATGTCAGGTTCCGAGTGCATGCCTCTCTTTCGAGAGAACAAGACACACGTGCTTTTTTGTGGGTTAAGTCGAAATCCGTTTTCGTCTGCCCATTTGGAGACCTTATTTAAACCCATCTGAACCTGCCGCTCACACATGGCTTAGTTGCATGACTTGAAGCCAAGCTGAATCGTCGTTGACATATGTACAATAGAACACCATGCGGGGAATGGACAAGTGCAAAGCATTCATTTTGATGATAAAAAGTGTGCAACTAAGCACACCACCTTGTGGCACGCCTGTTTCCTGGACAAATGTTTGGGAGAGCACACTGCCTAGACGGACACGGAATGTCCGGTTTGACAGGTAACTTTCGATTATATGAAACATTCTTCCGCGCACACCAAGGTGGGACAGGTCTCTTAGAATTCCGAAACGCCATGTTGTATCATACGCCTTTTCGATATCGAGGAACACAGAGAGAAAATATTGTCTATGGACGAAGGCGTCTCTTATCTGTGCCTCGATACGAACAAGGTGGTCTGTGGTGGATCTACTTTCTCGAAACCCGCACTGAAATGGGTCGAGCAAATTGTTTGTTTCAAGAATATGTAGAACCCCGCACGGGGCACCTTGAGTAATCTAGGTGACGGTGAGTGGCGACACCGCGGACCCCGAGCTCCCAACATAAGCTGTGCCCAACCGTGGCGAGGTGTTTATAGGTGAAGGGTAGAAGCCGTAAACGGTGGCCGTCGGAGCCTTGGTCAAGCTCGGCCGAACAACTTCCCTCGCTTCATGGTGATGGAATCGGTCGACCAATCCAAACCTCTTTCTTCACTGTCGGTATTTCCTGTGTCAAAGTTTCTTGAGAGTGTTGTTGGAGAGTCGTACAAGGCCAAAAACAACGAACTGGCGAAGTCCTTGTCGAGCTCAGTAGACAGGACCAGGCCGACAAGCTCCTTGCTCAAACCCGCATCGCCGATCTGGCCATTCGAGTCACGCCCCACCGCAGCCTCAACAGCTCCCAGGGCGTGATTTCGGAGCCAGATCTGGCAAACGAGACAGAGGCCGACCTCCTTGAAGGCCTGCGAAACCAAGGTGTGACGGCAGTCCGGCGCATTACCATCAGAAGAGATGACAAGGAAATACCCACTAGGCACATAATCCTCACATTTGATCGGTCCAATCTTCCAGATTATATTAATGCAGGCTTTATCCGGTGCTCCGTCCGAGCGTACATCCGAACCCGCGGCGCTGTTTCAAGTGCCAGAGGTTCGGGCATGGTACTAACTCGTGTCGGGGCCAAATAACCTGTGCCAAGTGCGCCCAACATGACCATCCCACTGATAATTGTAGCTCTCAACAACTTCTCTGCATCAACTGTCAGGGCCCACACGCGGCGTACTCCAGAAAATGCGAGAAGTTTCAATTGGAAAAGAAAATAATAAACATAAAGGTCACAGAGAACATCACCTTCCCGGAGGCGCGAAAGAGGTTCGCCTCTTTCCCTCTGGGGAGGTACGCCGACGCAGCTCGCCGGGGGGCGGAGCGGCGTCTTGTTTCGGCGGGGACCCAGTACCGCGAGTCGGACTTGGTCCCGCCCCCGCCCCCCCCTGGGTTGCCTCTTGCAGCCCAATCTGTCGCCACACCGCTTGCTGAGGCAGCAGCGGATGTGGCGCAAACCAGTTCTGTTGGGACCGGTGCCGCTCCCGCCTCGGCCTCCCCGTCCTCCAGTGCGTTGGAGGGTGCCGAGATGATGGACACCGCGGGCCCCGCACCGGATCCCACCGCCACCGCACCGCCCGTGCCACCTGTGGCACCCCCGGGGGTGGCGGCTCAAACGAAGGGCTCCCGAAAGGGGGCCAAGTCCGGGGGGCCCGGCTCGACGGGCACCCCTCGGACATCTGATGATGACATGGATGTCCGGCCGTTCCTGCCTGCCACGCAGCGCAAGGAGCGGCCTGTGACGGCTAAGCCTTCAGAAGGGCCTAAAAAGCCCAAGCCAAGAGTAACAGCCCCGAAAGACGACACATGAACACACACAAACACACACACTCCAGTCTTCTTAAATTCAAATAATGGGAACAGAAAACATAATCCAATGGAACTGCAGAGGCCTCCTTAAAAACCTGGACGATGTGTATGAGATTCTGCATGACAGACAGCCAAGTATCATGTGTCTCCAGGAAACCCACCTTAATTCTAAAAACACAAATTTCTTAAATAGGTATATGGTATTCAGAAAGGACAGGGTTGGCTGCACCCACTCCTCAGGAGGTGTTGCTATTATCGCACTGAAGTCATTAGCATGCCACCCTATCTCTTTAAACACTGTCCTCGAGGCTGTAGCGATCCGTACAATAATATTTAATAAGTTGATAACGGTATGCTCCGTTTACATCTCTCCGGATTTTTCACTTGTGAGCTCTGACTTCGAGGCGCTGGTCGACCAGCTGCCCGAACCGTACATTCTCATAGGCGACCTTAATGCGCACAACCCTCTTTGGGGCTCCTCCAGAACGGATACCCGAGGTCGCCTAATAGAGAAGTTTCTTACATCCTCCGGATCATGCCTTTTTAACAAAAAACAGCCTACATACCATAACTTAGGACACAATACATACTCGCATCTTGACTTGGCTATTGGTTCCGCAGCTCTCTTTCCATGTCTTGAGTGGGGTGTGGACACGGACCCATATGGTAGTGACCATTTCCCCACCTCATTAACGTATCTAAGTACAGGCCCAAGCAGTTCATCTTCCCATAAAAGGTTTAATGAATCAAAAGCAAACTGGAGCACATTCACACAAACATCTCAACTACACCACACATCCATAGAACACCTACACGTGGAGGAAGCCGCCCAACTCATCACGGCGCACATCCTTGACGCCGCCGAAAAGTCCATTCCCCTGGCCTCCAGTGCGTCCTGCAACCCAAGGCGGCCCTGGTGGAACGAGGACTGCAGGCGGGCGCGACAGGCCCAGAACAAAGCGTGGGGTGTCCTTCGCCGGTACCCCACGTCGGACAACCTCATTTCGTTTAAACGGGCAAAGGCTTTTGGGAAGCGAGTGCGTCGTGAGGCGAAAAGGGACAGCTGGCGCACCTTCCTCACCTCCATCAACTCATACACTGACACACACAAAGTCTGGACACGAATACGCAAACTAAAAGGACAACAGACACACAGCCTGCCCCTGGTTAGTACAACAGGGGACACACTGGAAGACCAGGCTAACACACTCGCACAACACTTCCAACACGTGTCCAGCTCAGCACACTACACAAACACTTTCATGAAACACAAAACATCTGTTGAAAAAAAGCCCTTACACGACAAAGAGAAATCGAACAGTTCTTACAACTCTGAATTCACTCTCTATGAGTTGAGGGCTGCCTTGAGCACGTGCAAACCTTCAGCTCCAGGTGCAGATAAGGTTACATACACCATGATACAGCACCTACACCCAGACACTCTTGAAACACTCTTACACCTATACAATAAAATATGGCTTTTGGGGCACATTCCTCGCTCTTGGAGGGAGGCCATAGTAGTAGCTTTCCTAAAGGAAGGAAAGGACCCTTCCTCTCCTGCCAGTTATCGTCCCATTGCCCTGACTAGCTGCCTGTGTAAGCTCTTCGAGAAGATAATAAACAGGAGACTTGTGTACTTTCTCGAGTTCAACGGTCTTCTCGAGGGCTGCCAGGCAGGCTTCAGGGCGGGGCGATCTACCAACGATCAACTCGTTGCATTAGAGGCATATGTAAAAGATGCTTTCCTCCACAAGCAGTACTGCATGACAGTATTTTTTGATTTAGAAAAGGCGTATGATACTGCTTGGAGGTATGGTATTCTCATTGATCTCAAGTCTTTTGGCATTTCGGGTAACATGTTCAACACGCTTGCCAGTTACATGTCCGAAAGAACGTTTCGCGTGCGTGTTGGAACTGCACTATCTAGAGTTCATGTTCAGGAAAATGGAGTGCCACAAGGTGGAGTTTTAAGTTGCACCCTTTTCATTGTGAAAATGAACTCACTGAGGAAGGAATGCCACCGTCGATTTCCTGCTTAATTTATGTAGACGACGTACAATTATCTTTTAAGTCTTGTAACCTATCTGTCTGCGAGCGCCAAGTACAGCTTGGTGTTAGCAAGCTAGCTGGCTGGGCAGATAGGAACGGGTTTAAATTTAATCCGGGGAAGTGCACTTGTGTTCTTTTTTCTAAGAGGCGTGGTATCCGGCCGGATCCTGACATTCATCTTAATGGTGTGTCAATTCCCGTCAAAAAGGAACACAAGTTTTTAGGAATAATCTTTGACGAAAAGCTGACATTCATCCCACACATAAAACAACTAAAACATAAATGCTTAAAAACACTGACTATCATGAAGGTTCTCTCGCACATTTCTTTTGGTGCTGACAAACAACTTTTAATACGTGTTTTTACCAGCCTAATAGGCTCGCGATTGGACTATGGTAGCGTTGTTTATGGGTCAGCAAGTAAAACATCCCTCAAAATGCTGGACCCGGTACTCCATCTGGGGCTCCGCCTGGCGTGTGGTGCATTCCGGACTAGTCCGGTCGAAAGCCTCTATGTGGAGTGTAACAAATGGAACCTGCAACGTCAGCGAGCATACACAGATCTCCTTTATGCTTTTAAACTTTCATCCATGCCTCACCATCCTTTTAAATCAGTTTTTTATGATACGTCCATGACTGAACTCCTTTTAAACCGACCATCGTTCTCTGCGTCTTTCTCCTACAGAGCTAGAGAGGAAGCGTCAGAGCTTTCTGTCTCTTTTCTAGACACCATCCAAAGTTCTCCAACAGATTTTATAGCACCATGGCATCTCCGCGCTGTCTTATGTGACACATCTTTTACACATATAGATAAAAACCGAGCTCCCACATGTGCTATTCTGCAGCATTTCTTGCATCTGCAGCATAAGTATCAATGTGCTGAATTTTATACGGACGCCTCTAGAACTGCCACCTCTGTGTCCTGCGCTGCGCATGGACCCGGCCTTAGTGTCACTAAAACGCTGAATAGTCATACTAGTATCTTTACCGCAGAGGCGTATGGTGTTCTTCTTGTTGTTAATCATATACTTCAAAGCGACATCTCACAATCCATTATCTATACAGACTCCCTCAGTGTTGTGCGGGCACTGTCGTCAACAATGCCTTCGAAAAACCATGTTGTCAATCTAATTGTCAAAGCTGTTATGTCTGTGTATGTACGCAACCTTGAACTGGTTCTTTGTTGGGTCCCTGGCCACTGTGGTATAGCCGGGAACGAAGCAGCGGATCGAATGGCTGCTGCTGCTACACTCCTAAATACATTAGACATAACCACATTACCCTACACCGACGTGAAACCACACATCAGACAACAACTTCGTAAAACATGGCAAACACACTGGAGTGAACAAACAGACAACAAGTTACACGTAATAAAACCACATTTGGGACCATACACCACCGACGCACGTAATAGATACACTGAAGTCGCCTTGGCCAGATTACGGATAGGGCACACTCATGCAACGCACTCGCACCTTCTCACTGGGTCTCCAAGACCTCTGTGCAGCAGGTGCGGAGAGGCCCTATCCGTGATCCACATCCTGATACAATGTAAGGCACTTGACACAACACGACGCAAATACTTCCCACAACTACACACGCGACATATTCCACCACACCCGTCACACTTCATAGGAGACGAAGCACTGTTTTCAGTCAAACGCGTTTTAGAATTTCTTACCGACGTGAAATTTTTACATCTCATTTCTTATCATGCTTGACAACCTGGCCCTTTAGACCAGTCATCTTCCATTACGTTGAGTTTTACTTTGTTTATTTTTACTGAGATGTTCTTTTACTTCCTTGTCACTTTAATGTAATCACTTCTGTTTGGCGCTCTTTGCCCTTAGTCGGCCTTGCGCCATTAAACTCTAAACATCATCATCATCATCAAGAATATGTAGAAGTCGGCAGTTTATCATTTTTTCGAATACTTTACACAAGCAGCTTGTAAGTGCAATAGGCCTATAACTTGAAGCTAAAGAAGGGTCCTTGCCCTCTTTCAAAATGGGAATAATAATCGCCTCTTTCCAGGAAGTAGGGATAGTGCCAGAAAACCAGATAGCATTGTATAAACAAAGTAAGGTTTTGCGTGTTTCGGCTGGTAGGTTTTTTTAACATTTCATACACCACACGGTCAGAACCTGGGGCAGAAGTTTTGCAGGAGTTTAGAGATGTTCGGAGCTCAGCGAGACTGAAAGCTTGGTTATATGCCTCGTATCTAGTGGATTTATGTTCTAGTTTCTGCTTTTCTATTCTTGTTCTGTATTTTTGGAAAGTGTCAGTATAGTGGGACGAGCTGGATACCCGTTCAAAGTGTGCCTCGAGGAAGTTTGCCTGATCTTCCAAGGTATCACCTTGAGTGTTTACGAGTGGAAGTGTGTGTACTTGTTTCCCTGCTATCCTACCGACCATGTTCCAGACTTTTGCCTCCTGTGTGTATGAATTGATCCCCGACAAAAACTTCTGCCAGCTTTCTCTTCTGGCCTGCCAACGCGTTCTCCTTCCTTGAGACTTTATTTTCTTGAACGTGTCAAGATTTTCCGCTGTTGGCGAGTTGCGCAGCAATCTCCATGCCCTGTTCTGTTCCTTTCGCGCATTACGACACTCCGTGTTCCACCATGGGACGTGTCGTTTGCCGGGCGTTCCAGATGTTTGCGGTATGCACCTGGCTGCTGCGTCAGTTAGAAAAGCTGTGAAGTACTTCACAGCTTCATCTATGTATAACCTACATATGTCTGTCCAACTCAAACGTGTAGTGTTGTGGAACTGTTCCCAGTCTGCTTTGTTTATCAGCCATTTGGGAACATGTAGAGGACATTCAAATGTTGTTTGTGAACTCAACACTACAGGAAAATGGTCACTTCAATATAGATTATTTATGATTTTCCATTTCAGTAGGGGTAGGAGTGAAGGCGATACGATGCTGAGGTCTATAGACGAGTAAGTT